CGATTTAGTACTTCAATTTGATCATCAATTTGAGGATGAAAGACATAAGAGAATTTTAATTTGGTGCTTAATATATTCCAAAAGTATGACGCAAATCTTATATCACTCTCAAAAATAATGGTTGAAGGGAGACCATACAGTCGTGCTATTTCTTTAAAGAATAACCTAGCTATATGAGACATGCCATTTATTTTGGAGCAAGGTAATAAATGAGCTCTTTTTTAGAACCTATCAACTACTACAACAATATTGTTATAATCACAAGCCATCCTAGGTAGTCTTAAAATAAAATCCATTAACAAGTCTTCTCAAGCCCTATAAGGAATGGGTAAGAAAGTATATTATCCAGACCTCTATTTAGTGGCTTTAGCTTGTTTACATATTAAGCATTGAGCCATTAAATTTTGAACATCTCATTTAGTGAGGGCCTATAAAATTTATTCTCCATCAAATATATGATTTTGTTATTTTTTTTCCAAAATGACCAACTATTCCTTCATAATGTAATTTCGCGATGAAAAAAATCTCTAAGAGAAGTCCTAGGAATACAAAATTATTTTTTCTTATACATATATCCGTTGATGATTGAGAATTGTGAAGTTAGGGATTTGTCCAAATGTGATAAAAGTGAAAATCAAGGCACACTTGATATTCATTTCTAATTCGATTAAATCCTTGGATCTTTAATTCTAGGGAAAAAAATCAAGTTCACCTTAGATAAGTCATTAGCAAGTTTATTCTCATTTCCAAGATTTATGTTTGAGTATGAAGGAGTAGTTTTGTAAAAATTCAACATATTTGTTGTGCCTGTAACTTAATTTACATTGAATACTAATGAATTTTAGGGCATGATAATCATACTTGAAATAAACTCCTTATGTCAAGGATTGAATTACTGTGTAAAATTCTCTATCAAAAGTGAAATACCTTTTTTTAGCTTTATTCAACGTTTCACTAAAAAATGCTATAGGTTGATTCTCTTTATTTAAAATTCCCCTAAATTCAGTTCTTGAAGATCGCAAGTCACTTCAAAGGCTTTAGAAAAATGAGGAAGCTTACGGACTGAAGCAAAAGTAATTAGAACCTTAATTTGATCTAAGATTTTTTATGCATCATGGGTCCAATAAAATTAATCCAATTTTAGCAAATCAGTTATTGAGGCTACAATATTATTATAGTCCTTGATGAATCTTCTATAAAAAATAGCTAAACCATTAAAGCTTTTAATCAAAGTAAAATTCTTATGTAATGGCCACTCTAAGATTATTCCAACTTTGGAAGGATCATGTTTGAGCTCATCCTCGGACACAATAAATTCTAAAAAAATCACATCCATTTAAAAAAAAAAGCACTTTTTAAATATGTGTAATTTTTCTTATCTAAATATTTCAAAGACTTGTTTGAGATCTTATAGGTGCTCATTTTCGCAAAAACTAAAAATTAGTTTATCATCAAAGTATACTACCAAATATTTTTCTATATAAATTCAAAGAATAATATTCATCAGTTTTATGAATATGTTAGGAGTATTTGAAAGTTCAAATGGCATGGCAAGCCATTCGTAAAGTCCAACAGGGATTTTATAAGCAATTTTTCTCTTACCTCTTATCTAATTTAATTTAATGATAATCATTTTTTAAGATCAATTTTTGAAGAAAAATTTGCTCCACTCCTAAGATTAAATCTAATATATCATCTAATTGAGGAATAGGAAACCTATACTTTATAGTAAATTTATTTATTGTCCGACTATCAACACAAATTCGTCATGTCTCATTTTCTTAGGGGTTAATAGAGTTGGGACTACACATGTGCTAAGATTCTCATGAATATAACCCTTTTTTAGCAATTCCTCAACTTTTTTGATCTTATTATGCTCAATATGGTTTATCCTATAATGAGGAAAATTGGAAAGTTGAGTAGCAGGTAAGAAATCAATGCAATGTTGAATGTCTCTAAGTTTATCAGGAAGCTCATAAGGAGAAGTATTATTAAAATCAGAGAGGAGTGAGGAGACCACAACAAGTATGTGAGTCTCAATAGAGTCTGATGTGACTTCCTTTATATGTAATAGGTGAAACTTGTCTCAGAATTGATAATACTATCCATAGCAGTAGGATTTCCTTTGATAATTAGTTGAAGTTTTGCAACTTTCTTTGAATTGGACCTAGGTTGCAGATCAGAAGTTTTCTGATGGAATGATATAGAGGGTGTCTTCTCTAGAGGTTTCACTAATAAGCGTTTAATGATCTTATAATTATGGTTGAAGATATATGTATTTTCTTAACCATAGTGAATACCGTCAAATCATACAATCAAGGTCTGCTCAATAGAATGTGAGCAATGTCCATGGGGAGAACGTTATATCAAATTTGATATTCATACTTATCAAATTTTATAGGAACTAGACATCTACTTATAATTGAAAGAGAGATGTGTCTGGAGATTCAATTTTTAGGTTGGCTCTAGAAGAGTATGGGTTGAAATAACATTCATTGCATTCCCCTATCTACGACCTACACATTTTTTCATTACACATAATATAAATGCTAAAGATATTTTTTTCTCCTCTTGTCTTCTGTTTCATTTTTAGCTACTGTAAGACACTTCATTACATTAATTTAAGGGTCATCAATGAATTTCAATTCTTCATCAGATAGTGGAATGTCATCATGAACTTCTAAGTTATTATTTATTGGATCATCAATTTCTTCTAGGAATAAAATTTGGATTTTACATTGACTTTGCATATTTCTTTTTTTATGACATTTAAAATACATTATTTCTCTAGTATTCTAATACCCCCTTTCAATAGGAGCTTTGGGCGACTAGGTTGAGCACATAGATGGGGGTAGGTCTAGCAGTATACTTATGAGATGAAATGGAAGAGGTTTGATTCTTAGTTTTAGAGAAGGAAGAAGATTTTTTCTTGTTATTCAACTAATAAGGCATAATGAAAAGCATCCTCTAAGGTTTGAGGATCAAACAATTCAACTTTATTTCTAATCACCATTGCAATTACTATTTTCATAGTTAGTACTTTTTATTTTCTGTAAACGCTATCCATGTTGTCAACCGTTCAAATAAAGTTAGAATCAACACGATTTCAATAATTGCTCATTTCAATCCCAATTGGACAATATTCATTCTCTTACCTTTTTTATTACTTGTACAACCAAGTACGCCTGTTTGTAGCAATAGCATAACACCTAGAGTACTCAAGATATATTTGAAGGTGAGAAAAAAAATACAAAAAATGTTGAAAAAAAAATCAAAGCATGAAAAATTCAAAAGGAGATAGAAGGCAGTTGCAAGAGTAGTTTCATCATTAAAATATGATTACTAAATTTACTTTCATTTTACCTCTAGTGACCTCATTCCCATTTCATCCCACGCCTTTTGATGAAAACATAATGTTATAAACCCTCATTATTGCACATTGGCAATCATTCCCACATTAGCAACACAAAAAATTTCAATGGCACCATTATGTGCTCTGACATGTGGAAGACTTTTGCAACTAATAAGTATTTATGATAAGACTTAAAGGCTGGCTTTTAGAGTATCCCTAAATGGTAACCTTAACATATACAAGGTACAAAGTGCCATAAAGATATCTATAGGGGAATGGATCAGAGGAATAAAATGATACTTACCCATATGAAATCTTCCCCAAACCCTAATTAAGATTTCTATCCATAAGTTGCTAAAGGAAAGGAGTATGGGATATTTAAGCCCAAAACCAGGAGAAAGAGACCAAAGGAAGCGAGTTATGTTTATGGGGTTAGCCATGCACCTTAGATATCATGCTTCGTGAGAGAAGAAAGGTAGGACTCAATTTAGAAGAGCATTGGCCTAAATTTGGGGGATAAAATGACAAATATATATGAGTAGAAATAATTAGCTTCATTCATCCTCAAAAAAACCATTACATGATGGTTTTAGTAGACAAAATTTATAAGTCATCATGATAAAGCCTAAGAATAAATATGTTATAGAAATAAGTTAATATATAAAGAAGCCTCCTTATAATGCCTATACAATTTAAAAAAAAATTATCATAGCTTATCAAAAAATATTTCTTAAGATCTTTCATTTAAGATGGTAGATTAAAAGAGACATTGATGAACAGGATTTTGGAAGGCAATCCTATCTTCCTCATATTTTGAATATTTCTTTTTTGCATGATGGTCCACATCTTTTAGAACGCACACTCAAATCTTCAAAATAAGTTTTGACACTTCAAAGAGAATCATGGATAGTAGTTTTTTTTAAGCTATTTGCTCCTACAAATTAATTTTAAAGATGATGAGACATCTTTTGTACATGCTTCTATATCTTTTCTTCTAGTAGCTAAGAGCTTTTGAGTAAGTTGAATGGAATAGTATCCTTCACGTAAGACATATCAATAAGGTTGGATGATAGAAATAATCCTTTTGTTCAAGAGAAATTTCCTTGACCCCTTTTTGCAACTCAAATCCCTTGGTCATCTCCCACTCCTCCGAAGTTCAAGTGGCAGATGGGTTGAATCTAGACCTCCCCCCATTACAAGCAAAACGTTTATGTGAAATAGGAAAAATTCTAATTCCACAAATATGAACACTATTACATGACATACATCCAATGGTTGTCTCATATACAATCTCGTCAATCAAATCTCTCAAAATAAGAAATTTAAAAATAATCTGCTTTTCATCATACACTCATTGCCCTTTTGAAAAACTTAAGATAACTTTTATCATCACGAGTTGTAGATCCTTCACTCATCCATTTGCGTTCAATTCAGGTGCTAAAATATCAATTCCTAAGCATCACAAATTGATGGAAGCTTCCCCAATAACTTCCATCATAATATGGGATCAATATATGATCAACACAATATAGAAAAGACAAGGAAATAAAATCATGTCAAACTGGAGATTAAACTGGAGATGAAACGAAAAAAGGAAATCGCTAGACAGTTATTTATTTTTTTTCTTTTTTGGGCAACATGAATTCACCTGACCATCTTTCATTCCCCTCTCAATGTCAACTGTGATGAAGTAACCTTCTCGCTCATATTTCACATTTGGACATTCCTCACAAACCTGAAGTAAATTGGAACCTCTGTTAATTTTAGCTTAACAATTGACCAGTTTAAATTCATGCATGTTGATTGAGAACATATCAAAGAAAATAGACGATGCTGTACATGGTAAGTACGTCAATTAAGGTGCCAAACGGTTCAAACCTGTTCTGATATCTGCTGATACATTCCAGGTGCAATTTGTATGTGACGTTGTTCATTTCTACAGTTACAACGCCTCTTGCCTGGAGCTGATTTTAAAACATTCTTCTCCCTCCATACCTAACAAGCATCGTGGCAGTATGAAATCAATGTACTTCAGTATCAAGATTCCAAGCAGCTAGCTTTAGCTGATATGCAAATGCAATGAAAATCCATGCAAAAATAATGAGAAGATCATGCCTTACACGTCTACAGAAAAGGAGAGAGGAGTGAGTGGGGGCCAAATGGCTAAGAGTTATAACTAGCGTTCATCAGCCAGTATTTAGCACAGCACACGTTATCTAAAAGAAACATTACAATGGATTTTTCTTGACAATAAGTGCGAAGTAAGCTAGCTATCACGTGAATGCTGTAAGCAATATTTTAAAAAAGAAACCACATCAATGAAACACAGTTCTGCCAAAAAAATCAAACTTCTGGAAGCATGTTAAACTCACCTTTAGTGAACCACCCATGTATAAATCTTCTAATGTAGCATCCAACTCTACAATTACATCATCACCTCTTGGAATTCTCTCCTCTTCCTCACGGGTGCTACCACCAAAGAAGCTACAAGAAGGAAAACAAAACCGACCATATTAGAGCATACCGAACAGAAACTATACAAAGCATTCTTTAGCACTGAGGCTCAAAATATCCACACTGTTTCGTTTCAAAAGAATAAAAGAGAAAGGGGGTAGCATGTTTCAACAGTACAGAGATAAATAGCAAGATTTAACTCTACAAAATGGTCAAAATAACCATGGTTAAAGCACTATTTTCTACAGAATACTAAACAAAAATGTATAATATGATGTTCATTAATTAAATCGGGATGTCCATTACTTGATGAGTATAATAACATCATACAACTCATAGACTAATTCTTCAAAAAGAACATTTGTCTGTAAAACGGGTTAAACAATAATTAGTTGTGCTGATGTAGCATTAAGTTAAACGAAGTATTGGTTTCCTGGTAAAGTGCTGTCTTTAGCTAGCAAGATATGAGATGTTAGGATGTTGGATATCCATATAAATTCAGAAGCATCAAATAAAATATTTTTATGTCAGCTCAATTTGCAAACCACATAATTTTTTTTAAACAAAAAATTTTATTGCAACAAAAAAAAAGGATTACAACAAGCTTAAAAACGGGACGAAAAAAAAAAGCTATAGAGATATAAAAAATAGGGGGGTAACAATCCATCGGGCTTAGTATTTGGCAGAGGCTTCCAACTACTCCGAAGCCAGGCACGAGCCATCCCGTTTGGAGTGAGGGCAGAACCACACCAAGTAGCCATCCGAAACGAGCAAGAAACACACCACCAGAGGTTGCCACAAACCATGGCTTAAGAAAAGTGAGCACTAGTCACATCATTGCTCACAAACCATAGATCGCATCCTCAAATATGAAACAAAGCTCCAGCAAAACGGCAACCACCAGAAGTAAATAATAAACCAAAGAGCCTTCCAACCGATGCAGCCCACAGCCAAAGCCATCACCACTATGAGGGAAACCAAAGAGAGACCCAAAACCCACCACCTCTATAAAACCAAGTAGCATAGAGAAGAGCCAAAGCCAAACAAAATCAGCACCCCATTCCCAAATTATTTCCTACCAAGTCTGCCCCTCCCACGAGAGGAGACAGAAACAACAGGTCGGTCATGCTTCAAGGCAAAATCATCCCCAGGTTGTTCATCCCCACTAGCCTCCGAAGAGGTATCGGGCAAACATTGAAGCCAATCAATTTGCAGTCTCACACTCTCCCCCGAATTAACACCCACATGAGAAAACAAAGCCTCAGGTGATATTAAATTAACAGGAACCTCAACAAAAGGGCCAGGAACTAGGACAGTAGGCGTCTCAGGGAAAGAAACATTAGGAACAACCAAACGAGCAAAGACCTCACCGACACAAACAGACGAGTTACTCTTAGTAGGAGAAACAGATGAATCAAATTTCTCAGCAAGCACACCAGGAACCTCAACCAAAACCAAGCCACATAGGGCAGGCACAGAAGTAGCACACGACATAATAGGATGGAGGTAAACATCACAATTCCCACCCCCAGCTTCACGAACACATAAACGATGGGCATGGATGGCCGGAACAGACCCATTCACCCCAGAATCCAAAAGAAGAACATTAGGCACACAATCAACAACAGGGGACGCAAGGGGAAAGTTCAGGGCTAGACACAGGCTCAAACTGACCATAGACCTGCAAAGCACAGGGCGGAGAAACATCAACAAGAACCACAGGATTATCGGCCAACCCATCCAGACCAACACCCAGAGAAATAGGATTAACAGAATCATTCAAAACACCCTCACCCGCGATATCCACAATAACAACTTCATGACTAATAGAAATAACAAGCTTCGAAGAGGAAACAAGCTTGGTAGTCGTGGAAGATGAACGACAGTCACCCCGCTTATGCCCAATGGATTTACAAAAATCACAAAATGGAGGAAAGACTTCCATTTGAAAGGGCGAATTCTCGAATCCCAGCCAAACCTTCTTAGGATAGCTTTTCGTAATATCAAATTCAACCAAAACATGCGTCAGAGAAGGTCACGAGCCAAGAGAGGTGGCGGAGTCAATTTTCAAAGGGCGACCAAATAAAGATCCCAAAGCATGGAGGATCTTGGGAGCGAAAAGGTAAGGCCGAAGAGACGGGAAAGAAATCCAGATGGGGATAACCGGAGATTCCACTCAAATGTCAAGGCTAGGCAACCACTTAGTAATTTTCATATAACAATTGAAACTAAGAACGGTGGCAAAAAACTCTACTATAATCCATATCAATCGCAAGTTTAATCAGGGCATGAGACGAATCAAGTAAAGTTACCGAAACCTCTGTCGAAAGCTTAAGATTGCAGAAAAACCGCCGGATAGCATCTAAATTAGGGCGACGGGAAGGAAAAAATCCGACCAAAGCAAACTGGAAAGGAGCGGCTAAGGAGGAAATCTCTTCCTCCGAAATCCAAACAGCAGGCAATCCACGGAAAGTTCGAGAGACGAAAAAATAGCATCCGACGAATGCCCAGATAAAGCATCCAAAAATAGATCCATCCAAAAAACTAAGAGCCGACGCGAGACCATGCCGGCCAGCGGGAAAAGAGACAAATAAACAACAAAATAAAGGGCGAAAGAGAAGAAAACTTCTCTGAAACCAGAGCGACACCACCAGCCAGAAGACAAAAAGCATCCAGCTGAAAAAACCCAGCGATGAGGGGCGAAGCTGACGCGCCAGAGGAAACCTAGCATATGGGGCTCCACAGCAAAAAACTTTTGTATTTTCTGGGGTAAACATACAACAAACCAATATACAAACAACTCTTATGAATATTGCAAGTTGCCTTGTGTCTTTTGAACTGCTCTGCCCACTTTAATGTCTAACTACTCATGATATATATAATCCAACCAATTAAAAATTTACTATGCCTTATGGAGGATAGATCCATCTAAATAAAATTAGAGCACTTGAAAGAAATTCAGTAGCCAAATCCAAATAGCCCCTCACTCAGAATCAACAATAACAACAACATCATCAAATCTTTATCCCACTATCACTCAGAATCATCATTCAAAAAATTTCAATCCGTCCAACCAATCTCAAACAGTTTCATTTACTATATAGAACAGTTCATGGCTTTAATGAAAAAAGAAATTCTATTTGAATCATTAAATGTTATCCGAGAACAGATTATATGACAGTTTTCTTCTCACTTCAAAAAAAAAAAAATTAATAGGTTGGCATAACTTTCATTTAGCATTCCAGAATGATCATCAATTTCTCATCATCATCAAGCTTTTCCCAACTATATGAGGTCAATTTTATTAATCCTCATTTTCCATTTATTCCTACGAAGTGTCACATGAGGTGTTAGACCTATTTTATGCTCTTTTTTTCTTTTTGTTCTACCACCATTCATGTTACCATTGGTCCACCATTTTTTTAATTTCAATCTTTGTATAATAATTTTAGCCACAAGTCTAATGAGATCATTTTCTACCAAATTTAAATTGGAGAAAATTCAGATCAAGATGTACTCACCCAATAAGAAATGAAAACAATCGATTTTGATCAAATTTGGCTTATATTATTTTTTTCCTTCTGAGTTATGTTATTTTTTTCCTTGTGAGTTTTGGCTCATGTTATTTTTTGAATTTTTATTTTTTTCTTGGTTTTCACTTATGTTGCAACATACCTCTTTAACAAATCATCATCCAATGAAAGCTACAACAACATAAAATCATCAGATCTCTCAAAACTTTTTTAGTGTGTGTGTGTGTGTATATATATATATATATGTGTGTGTGTGTGTGTGAGAATTTTGTTTATTATTTTAATTTTTTAATGTGGATGAATGTTTAATTTTTTTAAAGATATCTTTTATGAATTTACATTTTTTGTTGAAAAAAAAAAAACTACAGCTCATTTTAAATGATCTTTTCATAAACATTTATATTAGAAATTTGTTAAAGAATTTTTCTTATGTTTATTTTCTGAGTGTGAGGATGCCAGCATTACCGAATTCTAATCATAAAGCCATCCAATTAATGGGAGTATGTGATCATGGGACCTTGTTACATGCTTATCTCATGTTTATACCACAACAACTCTATTTTTTAAGCAAGATTTTCCTATAACTTTTTATAATAGGGAGGAACACCCATCGAATATCTTGTAACTACACTGAGGAGAAAGGAGATTCAAGGAAGGTAGCTTAATAGCTAGTAACTCCTTTATTCTTTTAGTTATGAATGGCAAGTTCTTTGAGATATGTCAATTCAAAATAATGACATATTTACGGAGGGTATTTTTAAAATAGTTAATTTATATCTCCACTAAGTAAAATTTCTATCTCAAGTTCTCCGCCACTATCTCTAACCATTCTTGTTGTGTCCTTAAAACATCCAGCCACGTTACCTTAAGTCCATGTCTTTACCTTCCTAATTCTTCCACCATGATTCTATCCACTTATCTCATTGGAAGATCTTTTTACCCTCACTCATAAATGCCCAAACTACCAAAATATTTCAGTATGATATTTTCAATAGCTTTCACTTCCACAATCTCTCTAATTTAATATTTCCTTGCAAATAATCAAGAAAATAAATAAATAAAGCATCAAGAGATGAATAGCAATGAATAGAGGTTAGATTCTACAATTTCATGGAACAATTTGCTCATTAGACAAACTTAAGATCTAAAAATAGGACATATTTCTTCTCCATAATTATTAGGACATCATCAATTATATAAGATGAACAGCAATGTCGAACAATTAGAAAGGAAAGGCTTAGACCTATAATAATATAGGTAGAAGTTGTTTAAAATGAATTACTAGAAACATTTTCCTCTTGAGTCAACTTCAGCTAAGCTACATGCATCATACATTAATCTGTGTTAATCCACTAGCTGTAACATTAGCATGCACAGGTCTAAACACTAACACATCCACCTCAAGCCTTCCTCATCAGTATCCTTTCCCTACATCAATTATTAATTGTCAGCCATACAATAAAGTGCAAAATTACAAGAAAGATGGGCAAAAAAATAATATTAATAGCAATAGCCCAGCATTACAGGATATCATGATATGTGATGTTAAATATAAGCATCATTTTTAGGCAAAGAAACATGAATGAACCTACTTACTTTTTAGTTAAATCCTAGGCCCATAAAACAAAGCTACAATGTTCCGAAATTCTGTTTGGTTGACAGATGACCCAAAGATATAATAGTCAATTAGCATTGTGGAGGGTTGCATCGATTATCTCCAACGGATCATGAGTTTGAAACATAGAAACAAATATAAGGAAAATCAATGTAAATCAACCAGTTTCTAGACCCTACATTGCTAAGAGCCTTGTGCCCTTGATGTGCCCCTAATTGTTCTAAGAGTCAACAACTTATCAAATGGTAAAAAATTTAACTACCAAACGACATGTATTGGTGCATATTACCAATCATGAAACTTCATACCCATTAATCTTAAACACCCAGTGCCGAATGAAGGATGCGCATCAAAAGTCTCAGATTTCAAGGTGACTAAAACAAATTAATTCCAAATCTCATATAAATCACACATATGCAACAAATTAAGGATCAGCAAAGCATAAAAGGGCCAGGAAATTAACAGATGTGAATCAATCCGTTGATCAGAAGGCAACCAGTCGCACAATTATGCACCAATCGAAAGAAAACAGATCGATACCTGCTGAAGATGTCCTGAATGTTCATCCCGGGACCCCTTCCACCACCAGCGGCGTGCTGCCTGAGGCCCTCCTCCCCGTATCGGTCATAGATACCCCTCTTCTCCGAATCAGTAAGCACCTCATATGCTATCAACAAACGACAATTAAAAAGCCGAATAAACTGCCTCTCACACTCTCTCCAGCAGAAGAGGCACGACAATAACAGATCGCAATTCCATACCATTATTGATCTCGGCAAATCTCTTATTGGCCTCTTCGTTCCCTTGGTTCTTGTCAGGGTGGTACTTGAGCGCGAGCTTCCGGTACGCCCTCTTGATCTGCTCATCGGAGGCACCCTTCGGAACCTGCAGCACCTCGTAATAGCTCTTCCTGGAGAACCCGCAAGGAGAATGAGAAAAGATTGCGAGTTAAGGAGAGGGTGAATGACAGTCTATATTAGCGGGATCTTATTACGCTCCAAAGGAGGCGAAGACCAGGGAGAGCACGACGGCGAGGAGGAGCAAGCCCGCCCTATAACGAGCCATTTGAACTCCAGCGGAGCTCCGCCCAATGAACCATTAATATTCTTTCATTAGAAAAATCAAGTCAATAGAATAACAATAGATATATATTGTCTTAATTTTTTTAAGTAATTATATAAATAATATTTTAAATATATATATTTTTAAAAAACTAATATTTTTTATATCAATTCTTTAAATTATATTTTAAATATCAAAATTCATAATAAAATTTTAACTCGTATTTTTTGCTTATGTCAAATTCATAGCACATGACAGGAGTATTAATTTTATAAATAGGTGAGTTGTGAGTGTTATGCATATAACTCTCCTTATTTTTTTACCATGTATAATTAGTTAAATAAAATATATAATGTGAAATTGATTATTTTGGTTAGAACTAAAAAAAAAAAAGAATTATCATGCATTACTTAATTGAGTAACTCCCATTAATATAAAAAATAAAAGTATTGCCCTCATTGTGTTATAATACGTGTTAATAATGTTAAATGAAGGGTTACCTAAGTTATTATTTAATAGTTTTAGTATAGGATGGCTATCAATGAAACCAATGTCATTTACAGTGCAGGTCCTATAAGAGACAAGTGAGACACAATTCTTACTGATGACTTGAGTCTTGCTACGACACATGGCAATAGCATAAGTCTTGGTACAATGATGCTTTTGTAGTTATTGGTTATAAAACATGTTGCAAGTGATGGTTAGAGTGAAAGACTTGTTTATGTGCAAGACAATAGTGCATGTTTTATTTTAAAGTCACTACCTGGTGAAGCACAAGGCATATAAGCAACTGGAGTATAGGTCTTGTTCTGATATAGATCTTGATGAAATGATGTTCTTGTTACAATGTAAGTATTGTTGGTGATGGTTAATGACTGAACAATGAAGGCATAACTTCTACTCAATCAATTATCAAATTAGTAAAATTGGTCAAGAGTTCGAAAAGGAGCATAGTAAGTGTTCAATCTATGTTTTGGAGGATTTAGATGCATTTAATGAATAAAATAAGAGATGAAAAAATAAATAATCATACATAAACACTAATTTTATTAGTGGGTTAAAAAGATGCCTCTTATTAGTATATCTCAATGTTATTATATATGAGAGAGAGAGAGAGAGAGAGAGAGAGAGAGAGAGAGGTGAATAAAATAACTTCCATATTAATTTAAAGCTAGCTAAATATTAAAAATAGAATATTAAAGTATTACGAGCTGCAACTCCAGTCTTTGCTTAAGTTGATGCCAAAAAGGAAGAATAAGAGAGAAAATGATCCTCTAATGGTTGGGTGTTTTAATAGTTGGCACCATATTGTGTTAAGATGGATTTTAGCTTTGAGTGTTAGATGATATAAGAATAATGCCATACACAAGTGTATAGTCAACATGTTGAATGAGATTGTTATGAAGTGTGTTGCATATTAACATTACATGTCTTTTAGGAGCTTCAATATAAATATTTCTTGAAAAAAGAGAGACCTTCAAGTGTTGATTGCAATGTTTATTGGTGGGTGACATTATGAAATTATCCAAGAGAAGTTTAATCTTGTAGACCATCTATGTAGAGACTTTAGTGCATTAGTTATTATTATAATTAAGTGGCTAAGTTGAGGTGTTAGAGAATTTTTTGACTTTTCCATGAGAAGGGATTTTAGTAGTAAAGGAACCTAACCTTGTGGATACCCTTTCAAGAGAAATGCAAAGGGCAATGTCTACTTAATTGGAGTGTTAAGTCTTCTTAGTAGAATTGTCTTGTGTTAAGATGCCTTTTAGGCCAAAAGTGCTTGCATGTAATGTAGAATACTCTTTTGTTGGCATATGTCATTTATTCATCCAAAAATGATATATGACAATTGTGATTGCGCCTTGGAATCAAATTTAAATTTAGTATTTATTCTCTTATTTTGGCTATAAATACTTTATTGGAATTCAAAATAAACAATCTTTTCACTTTTTATAAAGCATTCTTCATTTGTTAGATTTGTGATTTCTTGCAAGCTTTTTTGTATGGTAAGGGCTCCCAAATGAAGCTTACATCTAAGGTATTCCAATTAAGGGTAGGATCTATGGCATGAGGAAGGGGAATTATTTGAAGGTGATAAGGAAAAACCAAACATTAGTGGGGTTCAAGAAAGACTAACATATCTGAAATCACCACTTACATTAGAAAGAGATTTGGCCAACATGTCATAAGGTGATAGGAAGATGTAATTTAGTTTATTATTTTAGACTTAATAAATTATTATTTCATTAAAGAATAACTAAGTAATTATAAAAAAAAAATAGGAAGGAGAAAATTTCGCTCTTTTTTTTTATGCAGTTTATCTTTATTATCACTCTTAGAGTTCTCTCTCTCTCTCTCTCTCTCCCCCCTAATTTCTTACTTTTTTTATAATCTCTATAATTCTTAGTTATTGTAATACAATACAGCCATTAATAGTGTGACCCAGAAATTTGTGGTGAGGGCAATAAGAAGAATCGTTTGTCTTGTCTACTTTATTAGGTTTCTTTAGCTTTAGTAACTTCATGGCTAACTACATCAATATTTTAAATATTTTATTTATTGCATTCTTCTTGAAATAATAGAACTTATCAATCTTCTACTAAAAAGTAAGTAGAGGCATTTTAACTAGAAGAGGTTAAAAAATAGCTAAACTACCTTAGCTGTAGCTATTACTTTCTTCTTCTTAGCTTTCTTGGTTGGAGTAGGACTATGGCAATCTCGTCATTCTTATTGGATGTTGAAGGGTAATATATTATAATGTTATCCTTATTATGGGTACTATCCTCTTTCAATATTAAGGAGGATTCCTCAATTTGAAGGCTATTCACTTTAATATGTTGTTGTTCAAAAGTATGAATGGAAGAAAGTTTTAATAGTATAAAAATAGGACCTACAATATGACTTATCAATATATCAACTGTGGTTCTTTTGTGATGATGGATTGCATTTCATAAAAAAGTTTATGCTACCTCAAAATGAAATCAATCAAAATCTCAAAGTGTTTATATTGGTTAGACATAATGTCACAAATATGACCATTTTATGGGCACTAACAAACGTCTTAATGAAAACTTTTTCAAAGTCATCAAAGGTTTTAAATTATCCATTTGGAAGATTGCATACCACTCCAATGCAAATCCTAATAGGGAAGTCACATGTAGATGAGCAAAAGAACATTCGTGTTTTCAATATTACAACATAACTCCTTATATTAAGCTAGATGTTGGCAATGATTGTAAGTACCATGAAATTTAGCAAAGGATGAAGGAACAAATCCCTTAGGATAGATAATAGCTTTGTACTCCTCATGTTAATGTCGCCCATTTTAAACTATATATTCTCCTAATTCAGTTTCCATCACAACCTTAACTTGCTTCTCAACCATCCAACATATATGTGCATAAAAAAAGTATATCATGAGCTACTATAGATGAAAGTATAGGAGCTATAATTGAAATTGGGGTTGTAAAAGGAACATGTCTTCATAATTATTGTAGTGGATTGTATAATGGGAATAGGCTTTATATGGAATGACTCAGCTGGAATAATCGATATAGGAATATGTTGTGGAATAGTATTGCATTAGTCTGCGATAACTTGGTAGGAACTCTAGGAAGAATATGCTAAGCATGAGAAGGATGAAACAACTATCTAGGTTATCAGATTAGCCATTATAATGGTCATTTTCCTAGCATGCAATTTCTAAATTAGATTCTTTTTGTTTATCAACATACTTGAGTTCTACACATCCTGATCATTATATAAACTATATTGTCCTCCTTGACACCTTCAATGGATGCCTCTTGATATGAATTTTAAGATGGATCCTATGAAGGCTCTCATCAATAGGATTAACCTCGACCCTATTTCCCAAGCATCATGACATGTGGCATAGGCACTACATAAATAGTAGGTTTCCCATTCAAGTTGGCTAGTGTAAGCAAAGTCTCGAGAAAATAAGTAAGAGCATTTGAGCCAAATCTCTTAACATATTTGGTAAAAGTATAATTCCTAATAATTTAAAGCTAGTAAATGGGGCATGAGTAAGGATAATCATTAGAAATGTTGAATAAGCTTCTTTGAATACCCACTTACATTTAGTAAGGGCACATGGAGTGGAGAAGAGAATCTCTTCTTTTTAATATAAAATACATCCATAGACTTGTTTGATATAGATACAAAAAAAAAATCTTTATTTCTTATTAACATTAATAGTAGAAAGTACATGAGTACGAGTAATAGCATCATTAGGTATTCTGACAACAGAAGAAGCAACCTAGTTTAGATACAAACTCATGACTAGAAGGTCCGGACATAGTGGTATGAGCTGGATTATGGGGTGTAATAACAATAGAGGATAATCACATAGTGGAAACCTATGCATGTGTATGTCTTGCACCATAATGTTTATAAGGAAGAAGATAGTAAGATAAATCTTGCAAAAGATGTTTGCTAGTTGAAGAATTTTGGGTAATCGATTGTTATTAGACAATTGTTCCCTTACCAAGCTTGGATAAGATTTCTCCTTGGATCTAGAAGTCTCCTTAGTTTTATGAACAACAAGATGGGAGGAACAAGGAATATTCTAGGCTAATGGATGTGAACTCATAATTGTCTCTTGCTAAAAAACAATCTTAACCCTCTTAGCTACAACACCTGGCATTTGCTCGCCAGCCCTTATGAGTTCAACCCTCTCGAAGGCTCGACACCTTGAAATTCTTCCTCTGGTGGTGTCTTTTTAATCAACAACAAAAGCTCATCAACATATAGATATAAAAAATTAAAGGTACATCTAAGAGTTGATCATGTAGGATTGTCCCTCATGAATTCTAGCCAAGCACCCACTAATAAAAGGCCTTCATTTCTTACTCGTCAGGGTGTACCACAATAGCTCGCTCGAGCAAATTCAAACTATAAGATCTCTTACAATGGATATCTTTTTATCTAATAATGAAATTTGTGAAGTATTTAAAGTTCATTTTTCTCTTACCCACCACAAGTAAATGCGCATGAGAACCATGCTCAGCTCAGTAGAGGCAACCTCCTTTACAGTTTCCACTATTGGGTGCCCCAATGCTGCTCACCTCCTTATCCGTATTTTAAGAGGCTCATCATTTTCCTTATAAAGAGGCATTATGATCCTCGCAAGAAGATCACCCCCACCACCAATAGTGGTGGGCTCAACAATGATTGTAGGCTCACAACCTACCTAGCCTCCATCCCAAGTTCGATCATACTCTTCTTCCAAGAGAACTTGCCCAAAATATTCAACATGTGCTACTCGTCCTTGGCCTATGGAAGAACTAGTCCTACACAAGAGATTTGGGTATTCATATCCAAGATGGCTCTCACCACGTACTTGGACCACCATCCCAGTCACTCGCTCTCTTCCAAAGATATCATTCTCATGCAAGCTTGCCAAACTTAGCTACAAGAAAGCACTTAATCACATGAATCCTAGTCCATCTCACCTCAACTATCCTACTTAAAACTCCCTTCTTATGAAAACATATCACTCATCTCTCTTTTCTCATAAGATCTGAAATGTCCCACACATCACTGACAACATTAGCAAGCTCGTTGGTCGTAGGTCCCCACATTTCAGCTGTCGCCCACAAACTCACCATACTTACTTGACACTACTGAGCTCACTAAGAAATAACTTGACAAAGCTCTTCTGACCTTGCACTTCTTTAACCAACAAGGAGGTGACATGTGTCTATAATACTGTGCAGCATCATACTAATGTATGTGTAGTTTTGTGTTTTTAACTTTTTCTCTTTGTAGCCTTTCCTTTAACCTTTCGACCCTATAAATAAGGGAAAATTATTGCATCCGGTCACCGGACGCGGAGATAGGTCTGGATATTAATAAAATATTATTTTAAATTAAGCGCAACTAAAGCGTAGGTAAAGTGCACCTAAAGCGCAGGTAAAGTGCATTTAAAGCACAGGTAAAGTGCAGGTAAAGCGCAAGTAAAGCTCAGGTCAAAGCGCAAGCCGAAAGCACAGTCAAAAGCGCAGGTGACGTGACAAATTTTTATTAGATGTCCAAACCTATTCTCCGCGTCCGGTGACCGGATGCAATAATTTGCCATAAATAAGGTGTGATGAAAAATAATTTGAGATATTTGAGACTTTTGATAGTTTGAAATATATAGCTTTCTTGATCATTATGCAAATCCTCACAAGTCCCAAGTCACTCGCTCGCTCACAGGCTTTACATGCTAATAAGGTCTAATATCATTCATAGATAAATTTGAATCCAACAAAATTAAAATTATTATCTTCTAAAAAAGCTAACAATATAATAACCTTAAAGGCATTAGAAGTTACTTGACATAATTGTGCCATGATTAAAATAAAATGTGAATGATCAGGAGTAATTTATGCCTCGACCCAATGCCAATATATACTTTTGTGCATATACTTTCTAAGTTAGGAACACCGTATAAATGAACTATCTTGCAAGCACGAGCTTTTCAAGCACCCTCAAATAAATAAAGGACCTTCCCTTCACCAACGAGGCTAATTTAAATATTACGCTAGTTACAAATAATAGCATTACTATTATTTTATGAAATAAATAAATAAATAATAATTGCAAAAAACTTAGAACGATTTTTGGCTAAATGAAATAAATGATGGCAAAATATTAATTACGTGCAACAATGTAAAAAAAATAAAGAAATTCATACAAAACATATATAACTGTAACTTCTTTAACTCGCATCAATTTTGCAGCAGATTATACTTACAAGAAGCATTGCTAAAGCTTGGAAATTTAGCATTACACCTTAGAATGCTTGATTTCCTTCTCCAAGCAAAACAAAATAAGACTAAAATTACACAGGATTAGTATATTTCAACAATAAATCAGAGGAAAGACAGAAGAAATGCCTTTATTTGATCAATATAAGGTGATCTAGTGGGAATAATATGACCCATATCATGCTCGATGGTTACTGAACTATTTTTATCAAACAAGTCAGCAAGATCCCTGCTAACTTCACAGTTAATCTGCCTATCTCTTCCCCTGCCATCACCAAAAATATGCAGAGATGGGCATTTGATAAATCCTCCGACGGACTTGCTAGATACAGTAGAAAACCCAGAGCAGAGAACGGCAAATCGGAGACCAGATACTTGGCCACTTCTTTGCTGCTGCTCAAGAAACAAAGCAGCAATGGCTGCTCCCTGAGAGAATCCAAGGATTCCATCAAACGGACCATTTTTTAAGACCACATCTTGTAGGTAAGAATATGACAGTTCAAATCCTTCAGTTTGCATTTTATACTGAAAAGGATCAAACTGTTGTTCTTTTTCATCCGATGATGTTGAATTAGGAGAAATGAGCCATGCAAATCTTTTCTTGCACTTCTCCAAGAGTACAGGAGAAATTTGTTGTTCAGTTGGTTGATAAATAAATGGTAATTCATGAGGAGCATCAATGAAGATGAACTCGACATTATTCTTGAGTTTTTTGGCCAGTGATGATGTTCTTCCCTTAAAACTTGAAGCATTCTGTCGGAAGCCATGCAAACACAGGATTCTTAGCTTCCTGCGGCGATCAAAAACTATGGGACAAGAGAAAGATGCATATCAAGAATTTTTATATTTGTATAAACTAAGGTTTCATTTGGGATGACTTTCTTATTGCTTCTTCAAGTAGTTTTTTAAAATTTTTGTACTAAAAAACTGCTTTAAAGAGCAGTAAGAAAGCCGTCCCAAACGAAGCCTAAGTTTGTTATAATTGGTGTTTGTTGTGCCTTCTATAAATGAATACAGACCTTACCTGATATAGTAGAGTGTTCACGACAAGGCTTTGCACTGCTATCATGTGAAGTTTCTGCTTCAGTCTCAGTAACATCAAATGACTCCTGTGAGAGTTCCTGATGCAACTGACTATTTTGCACAAGAGGAACGGGCTTTTCTACATTGTCGTGTTTCTGGCACAGCTCACATATGTATCTTCCTCTATAATTGCCCTGAACATCAGTGTTTACACAATAATTAAAGCAATAGTTATATCAGGACGAATTGAAGCAGCAATGTCCGACAAATGAGCTAATGTTAAACAGTTTTGTCCACTGAATAGACTGTACTAGTCATAGAAAATGAGGATATGTTAAGAACACAGTATTGCCAAAGGTTTTACTGCTAGTATCACTAGTAAAGTTCCTGCTTGTATGACCAGAAGTGTATTAAGTGTAATGAAAGATTATTGAACATTTAAATATAATTTTGCACTGGCGTAGGAGAAGGAGCCAACCTGACAATTATAGCAAACCAAAACCAACATTCTGCAGTAGAAACACCGACAACGAGATGAATAATCATCAAAGGGAGAACCACATATAAGACAGGTTCCGAGCACATCCTTGTCCTGACTTCCAACAGAAATCCTGTAGCATTACATGTGGATATTATACAAAATTTCTGACTAAACTATAGAATAGTTTACATCAAGAAACTCTGAAACTGAATATCTATAAAAACAAGATAAAAGCATACCTGTGATCAAAGACAAAATTTTTTCCTTTAAAGAAACCACCATCAGGAAATTGCTCCATATATCTCTGTATACCACCAAATAACTGCCAGATTCCACAGCAGATTAAGACTAAACTTTAAGCAATACCAAGCTCCATATATATATATATATATATATAATACTATCTATGCAGCTGAAGAGCACAGATAGAGATGCACAAATCCCCAGGTTGCTGATGCTCGTTCAACAAAGAATGAGTAATCAAACCCCCCCAAGATGAGAATATCAATTCTTGAAGCATGGAGAAAGAGATGAGAATGCTCAGGTACATCAACGGATTAAAATTGTTGAAGCTCAAAACCAAAAGGTTTTATTCATCACGCCATCTTAATTTCAGGATACTAGGTACTACTTATAATAGTTACTCTTATTCCAAATGAAAAAAATTACCTTTAAACAATAAAAACATACTAAATTAATCCTAAATGACATATTATGCATTTACCGCTAATAATTAAAAAAAAAAAACATAAAAAAGCTTAAAAATATGGCATATAATCATAACGTAAAAATAGGTTACTATTATTAGGAATGAAAAATAGGCATCATCTGCAATGCACAATAAACCCTATATCTATGATGTCAATTGATAAGTAACAAAGACAACATCGGATGTCACACAAGTAGAAAAAAAATTGAAGTTTAAAAATAAGAAATTAAATAAAAAAACCAAAACTTTTGAAAATTTCCTTTAAGGTGACTTGCCTGAAACACGTTCCCAAAGCCTGCACCTTTTGATCTGATATAGGCTGACGCCATTTCGCATCTTATGCCTCCAGTGCAATACCTGAAAAGTAAACAGAAATATATCAGATATTTGTCCATGCAATAAATGAGGCTAGCATTGGTAATTAAGTTTCATACGAACTAATAAAAATATATATAAATTGCAAAATATTAAAGAGACGTATGCCACAAGTTTACAAATTATGATTGTTTTTTGAAAAAACAAACTACTGTTTTTCTAGTCTAAATGCAAAATCAAGCTTTACCTCAAATTCTTTCAATATAAATAGCTTTTTTTAAGCCTAAACATTTATTCATTTTTTTAATCACTTCTATAAATTATAATATTATTGTGTTAGGTAGGACCAGAAGAGTATATAATTGTCTTTAACACAGGAATTTACAAACACAATACGATATAAGGATAGGAAGGAAAAACTACTAGACGAAGACAAATGTTAAATTTTCACTTTCAGCAAAAAAAAACAACTCCACTAAACAGTTGAACGTCAGCACAAGACTATCAGCAACAAAGACGGGTTTGAAATTCATCGTCAAGATTTTAAAATGCAAACAGAGTAGAGATTTCCCAAGAGCTCCCTCCTTGAATTTCAGATTCCATAACCATCGAATGAACTGAAAGACACGAAGGTGTGAGAGAAATTTTGCCATCCTCAACGGATTGCATATTTCATGATCGAGCACGACATAAAAAAGATGATATATTGCCCCGAAGGACAAAATGTGTCATTTCCTTATGGACTCAATAATAAAACTTGCAATTTTAATAGAGATTCCCCCATTCAATATTTAGTTGAATGGGGTTTATTTTATTATGTGATACAGATGTCCAAGCCCCTAGGATTAATTACATCTCAAACTTTTGGTACTTGAAAATTTTTTTCATTAAATTAGTGATTTTCTTTCTTTTGAAAATCATCCAAATATTGGCTTAAGTTTTGATTTTAAAATCCATGAAATTATTATTTAAAGAGTTTTGGTCTTTAAGAATTTCAAGGATGAGAGGATCAACTTTAAATCAGATTTTGGAATGATAGCCAAAGGAGGGAAGTAGGAATACTTGATTCTGAGAAATTTCAGAAATGCTCAGACTATTCTATGTTGGGCTTTATATTTTAGAATCCGGTTTTGTATAAGTTGATCATTTTGATTAGAATGTTGGAGCTTACATTCCAACAATGTGTTGGAGAAAATGCCCAGAATGTGAGGACTTATGAGGTGATTGAAATCAAATACTGCCTCGGATTCTAGAACTAATGTGAGGACTACTGAGGGGTAGTGCCTCGAATCTAACTCTAATGAAGTGCAAGGTACTTACAAACTACACCTCATATGAGGCATAGCCAGCCAGACCTCTGAATTTATTGTCCTGTCTAAAAAGGGCTACCAGTTAACCCACATAGTCGCTTTTAAAATCATGATATCTTATCTCAATGCATATGAAGAGTAGTGAGGTAGTTTTGTTTAGAGGATAGGGCTTACAACTTAACTTTTAGACCAAGATGCCTGATCATGTGGGTAAACAGAAATGCTGAGTCACAAATACAAATTTATTTATTATCTGATCCTTAAGTTGAGACTTCTTTACATGAGACTTGCTGCAATAAGTTTTGAAATTTAGAAAACTTGGCTCCTTCGCAATTTTTTTTTTATTTGAAAATCATGAAGCCTAATTTGATTTTAGATTGCTTACAATTTAATTGGTAGAAAACTTATTTTTGTCCTAAGAGCCCACAGCATCAAAAGTCCAAGTCACCCCCAAGCAAAACAAGGAAGAAATCTAAGAAAAATCATGCATTTCTATTGCACAATCAATTAAACAAATCAAAACATGCTTACATATATAAATCAAACATAAGAAATGCAAATTGTAGTGTCACGACCCGACCCGGATGCTCGAATTATAAACATAAAATAATAAAAGACAAATACATAATATGACTTAAAAATATATCGACTCGATCGTCGTCGTAGATCGACGGCCCTGACTCTGATAGACTTTCCAAGCTCCGATGTCCCCATCACGAACATGGTTGGTTGACTCTGACATTAGCTCAATTCATAGTATTTATTTTGGTAAAAGCTTTTCAAAGCATATATACTTATGGCGGCTCCACTAAAGAAGTTTATCCTTTTATTTTGGCTGTTCTCTGGGTCTCTAATAGATCCCAAAGGCATTGAAATGGTGTAGACGTCATCCCTACTCAGTGTCAAATCCATGTTGCAGCAAAAGTCATTGGATTTCATTAAATAGTGCCATGCATCAAAATGAAATGAGAAAGGAATCAAGATAAGACACCAATCCCCTACAAGTGACACGGTTCTAATACATTTTTACACCAAATTTAACTTCATTATCATTCATAAGTTTACCTTGTTAACCCTATCAACCTACAACTACAATATGGAGTTATAATGATCATGGATAAAATTAAGATGATTTTATGCTAGGCATTGTTCTAACAAGTGTAGGTATGCACTAGATAATCAAGATGCTGGGGTAATGTATAATTCTAGAATATACATGACTCATATGAAGATTATAGCTCAAGAAGAAAATATCACGCTCAAAAGTCACTAGATCAAAATTTCAAGACAAGCCAAAGGCAATATGAATTAATAGTTGAAAAACAAGCCAAACTTAAATTTTGGTGTTGTGCTTTCATATTATTTAAGTCGAATATGTATGTTGGAGATAATGAAATTGGTAAAACAACTAGCACGCATACACAAGTGAAGTTAAGAAAAATTACTTAAATTTTTTATTAAAACAAATTGATCATAATAGATTGATATCAATCGTATTGTACAATATGCTCTAAATTCAAAGAATCCAGTGAGATCAATTTTCATTAATTCCTAGTTGATTTTTTTCCATCTAGATTAGCTTAGTTGACACGTCAAAGGTCATATTTTTTCCAGTACTTGCAAACGAAATCATCTTTGACTTACATATATCTGAAACTTGGAAGTAGAATTTAAAAAAATAACAAAAATCTTAGCATCAGATAGTTAAGGGTTTAGGTAATCAACCACAACCAAAGTAACCAGTTTGTTGGATTTATAGTAATTGAATAGTGAAAAAATGCAACTCTGAAGTTGATATCTCATGTATTTTTTACTTACAAGAATATATAAGGTGTAGATGATATCGGGCTAGTTTAGTTATCAATTTTTTGAAGGCTAAATCCAAGAATTCAGTTAATCTTTCATTTTTTAGCAAATCTTAATTTTTTGTTGATCAAGCAGTGGCTAAGAACTAATCATTTGTTTCAGTTTAATTTGATGGTTTAGATTTGAGTTCTTATATATATGTTATTGGATATAACCATTATTTTCTGTATTTCTATAAGAATGCACCTCTTCATCATCTATATGATGCAATTAGCAAAGAAAAATAACAACATAGGTAAAGAAATTAACAATGCACAAAAATGTGTTCAACTAATAATGGTTATTCATGCACATAAATTGTCCATATAACATTTTTAGGTTATTAAAATTCAATCATAGAATTAATAATTAAACAAACATATAATAAGAATAATGATAGAAACCACTCAACAAAAAATATAACTTTGATTAGAAAAATATTCAACAAAATGCAATTTACTATCAAAATGATTTTTAAGTGCTCGATAATGGTATCTCAATCTCCTCATCTTCGTCTTCTTCCAGCAAAGTATATATATATATCACAATAAGTTAATTATAAAATAATCATTAAAAGAAATATTATCGAATAACAAACAAATAAACACCTTTAACCTACTCTTCAATCCATAGTGGCCACGAACCCAATTTGACCTGCATATCAAAGCTTGTACCGTTTCAACACCCAATTTAGAATAATATGTATGTACAACTCTCTACTGCTGAGATGTATATCTGAAGCAACTATGCTAATAGAAATTGATAAGATGTCTACAGCCAATCTTAATAGTATGGCATATTTTATTTGGTTGCTCTTCCACCAAGCAATAACATTGAATATCCTCCTAGTTGGACAAATTTCTATACCACTTCTAAGTAATTATCTAAATCTGATTTTGCAAATTTCTTATTGATTTTTTCAGATACATAAGCTGTAAAATCAAGCTAATCATATATTTATTTGATCCACCTTATTGAGCCATTCCTGAACTGCTACTTTCACAAGCAAAAGCCTCCTCCCCTAATATAAATGCCACCTTCCCCTTCAACTTCTTCAAAACATGAAACATATTCCTCATATAACTCATGTAACAATGCATGCACGTATAAATATTATGTGGACTCTATCTCCATAAATCATAGGATATGCAAACTCTATCACAAAAATTTTCATTCTTGGATCCAAAATAGCACAAAATGCCATCAAAAGGTACATTAACTCTAATATTTTTCAAAATTTTCTTTCATTCTTCTGGTCATGTCTTTAACAAAATAATTATGAGATATTGAGCGATCATCTAAAACCTTCTTGATGGTGCATATTTAGAAAAAAAATAAATTTGAAGTTGGATATTCAGTTCTTGAAATGAAGTTTGTTGCTTCAATAAAAAAATCAAGAACATCATAAACCTTTTCTATTATTACATTCCTCTTCTAAAGGACATTTGTGATAATGTTTTCCTCTAACCATATGAACCAAATGTCTCCCTTAACTTAAAAGTCACAGTAAACATGTTGTAAGTTGAATTCCACCGTGTTAGATAATTCCATAACTAGCTTTCTAGTTGACAATTACAACTACTGAACAACATCGACAAATCAAAGCAATCTCCATTCAGATGCATTCAAAAAACTGTCCTGAATTTTTTTTAACTACAAACTCAACACTTTTAATGTCATCTTTTACCATCAAATTCAAGATATATGCACATCATCGAATATGAAATATTTTTCATCTAAAAAATAATTTCTTCCATACACGAAAGTTGTCCTTTAATAGTTTAATGACCCGATCATTATTAGAAATATTATCAAAGGACAATGTGAACACTTTATTCTCCAAACCCCATTCATTTAGTAACTTGTAAAAAGTATCAACAATCTCTG